GGGAGCGCATCCCCTGCAACAAGAGAGCCAGGAGGCCAACGCATAAGAGAGAAGGAAATCAAGAAAGGAATTCCTTTGTTCAAGAGTTTTTTTGTTTTGTTTTTTATCCTTACTCGAGGACATTTTTACATTGATCTTCAGATAGAATGGGAGGGAGGGAGGAAGAAAGAGGGAGAAATATTGACATGAGTGAGACACATGGAGTGGTTGCCACCCACATGCCCCCAACCAGAGCCTGGGACAAACTGCAACAGAGGTATGTGCCCTAAGCGGGAACTGAACCTGGGACTCTCTGGTCCACCGGCTGATGCTCTAACTGCTGAGCCAAACCGGCCAGGGCTGCTCAAGAGTTTAAATATCAGCCCTGGCCGGTTTGGCTCAGCAGTTAGAGCGTTGGCCTGCGGTCCCAAGAGACCCGGGTTGGGTTCCCACTAAGGGCATGTACCTCGGCTGCAGTTTGTCCCCGGCTCTGGTTGGGTTGTGTGGGTGGCAGCCACTCTATGTGTCCCTTTCACGTCCATGTTTCTCTCTCTCTCTTTCTCTCTCTCCCTCCTACTCCATCTGAACAACAACAACAACAACAAAAATGGAGAAATGTCCTCGGGTGAGGATAAAAAAAAAAATGTAAAGAGTTTAAATATCAAATCTTCCCAAGCTTGCAGTGACCACGTCTATTCTGGCCAGTGACTTTTTCCTAGGTGTGACTGACAGCCGAGTATTTTTCCTACCTCATCCAGACTTTACTGGGCATGCATCTGGCATGCCTATACTATTTGGCCTTTCCCCTGCTTTTTTTCCAGCGATTACAACCATGTCACTGCTAGTCAGAGGTCCAAGGTAAGCAGCCTCACCTAGGAGCTGGTTAGAAACAGAGAATGTCAGGCCCCATCCAGACCCTCTGAGTCTGAATCTGCATTTTAACAAAACCCCCTTCCCCGCCCCAAGTTTTCCTCTGTGCATATTACAGTTTGAGAAGCACTTGCACTAGGTCGCTCCTTATTTCAATACCACGGATATCAATAATTCACCACTGGGTAAGTTGACATAGTGGAGCCATTTTAAAAGGGAGCAAAGCAGCCATTCCAGAGGAACTGCCTGGCATGTCCTTGAACCTTTGAACTGTTTGAACTGAGCCAGGCTTTTGAGCTGGGCCAAACCAACATTGTCTTTGAAAGAGCTTTGTGAAGCTAATAGGAAAGCAGACATCCTGACCACAAGGGCTGAAGATTATGGACTCAGTCACACCGCATAACGACATTTCAACGGAAAATTATGGACTCTCTTTCTGAAGATAGAATCAGTAACCAGCCTTGTATAGCTAAAGAGTAATTCTAAGTAAGCTAAATTCCTATTAATAGCTTGTTAGCATCAATAGGAATTTCTTCTATTCATGTAATTATTCCATCCTTTCTCTCATAAAAATTCTTTGTCCTCACCCTGTAATTGAGACACTGTTTGGGTTTCTGCCTGAATCTATGCTTCTAGAATTGCAATTCTTTGATCCCAAATAAACACTTGTTGCCTCTCATTTTGGCTTTTTATTTTTAGATTAATACCACTTAGCAGGAGTTTCCCTCCAGCAAATTACATACTACATACTAAAAACTACCTAACTGTGACACTTATGTAACAACAGCCATAATATTAATAAAATTAATAATAACACAATAATATGTGTTTGGTATTTACAACATCCTTTTATACACAATCTCATCTGACTCTAGAATACAGTCATACACCACTTACTGACATTTTGGTCAATAATGGACACATATACAAAGGTGGTCCCATAGCCTGGCTGGTGTGGCTCAGTGGTTGAGCATCGATCCAAGCACCAAGAGGTTGCTGGATCGATTCCTGGTCAGGGCACATGCCCAGGTTATGGGCCAGATCCCTAGTGGGGGGCAAGCAGGAGGTGGCCAATAGATGTTCTATCTATCTCTCATCGATGTTTCTATCTCTCCCTCTTTCTTCCTTTCTCTCTAAAAATCAATAAAGAAAAAAAATAAAAAAAACAAAGGTGGTCTCATAAAATTACAATGGAGCTGAAAAATTCCTATTGCCAAATGATGTTGTAGCCATCATAAAGTCATAGAGCAATGCATTACTCACATGTTTGTGGCAATACTGGGGTAAATAAATCTATTGGGCTGCCAGTCATATAAAAGCATAGCACATACAATTATGTACAGTACATAATACTTGATAATGATAATAAATGATTATGTTACTAGTTTATGTATTTACTATAATATTCTTTATTTATTTTCCTTTATTGACTTTAGAGAGAAAGGGAGAGGGAGAGAGAGACAGAAACATCCGTGAGAGAGAACATCAATTGACTGCCTCCTGCATGCCCCCCACTGGGAATTTGGCCAACAACCTGGGCATGTGACCTGACCGGGAATTGAACTGGTGACCTCTTGGTGCATGGGTTGATGCTCAATCAGTGAGCCACACCTGCCGGGCTCCACTGACTTTTTAGAGAGAGTGGAAGGGGGAGGGTAGGGAGAGACAGACAGACAGACAGAGAGAAAGAGAAAAACATCTGACGTGAGGGAGACCCATCAACCAGTTGCTTCCCAAGTTCTGGGATAGGGCCAGGGATTGAACCTGCGACCCACATACATGACCTGGACTGCAACCCTTCAGTGCAAGGGCCGTTGCTCTAACCACTGAGCAACAAGCCAGGGAGACTGTGTCTTTTGATTGCATCATTTTCTCCTGTGCTTGATTAATTTCATATTGTTTTGTACAGTAACAGGCTGGATAGGTTTGGAGCCTAGAAGCAATAGGCTAGGTGTATAATAAGCTTATACCATCTAGGTTTGTATAAGTGCACTTTCTGATATTCTCACAATAAAAAAATCACCTAACAATGCACTTCTCATAACACATGTTGCCTCACTGTCTTTGGAATTTTCATGCTTCCCGTGCACATATATTAAATTTTTATTTTTTCCTGTTAATTTGATTATTAGCCCAGCTAGAACTTAGAAGGTGGAGAAAAGTATAATTATTTTTAGCCCCCACAACAGCTTTCTCAAAACTTCCACCCAATCACTTCCACTGATTTCTCATTAGCCATCATCTTCTGCATGGAAAGCAAGGAAATGTGCTTTTCTTAGCCAGGCACATTGCTGCCCCCAATATAGGAGTAAAGAAGGTAGGGATAATGGCTATTAGGATAAAAGCTAGCATTCTCTGACAAAAGGGGCCTCAATGAATGGGAAGAATTCACTATAGTCACCTTGAGAGCAGAAGTGATTAGGTTAAGAGATATAGCCAAGGAGGTAGGCAGAAAAATATAAACACCCCAATCTCCCTTTCTTCCCTCATTCCATTTCCTGCCAGGGTTCTCACTAGCCAAACACAATAAGAAACCAGAGGACAGGAGTATGGTTGGTAGGTCAGGTTTCCAGGGCCAAAAGCAGGGTAGAAAAGGGAATTAGGTTGGGTCTGGAGAGGCAAAAAAAAAAAGAGGGAGACCTGGCTGTTTTTGCTCAGTGGTTAGAGCAGTTAGAGCATTGGCCTGAGGACCAATGAGTCACAAAGTTCGATTCCGGTCAAGGACATGTACCTCGGTTGCGGTTTGTCCCGGCCCTGGTCAGGTCGTGCTGGAGGTAACCAGTTGATGTGGCTTTATCACATCGATGTTTCTCTCTGTCTTTCTCTCTCTCTCCTTCCCACTCTGATGATAAATTGAAATTTCAGGTGAGGAATGAAAAAGAGAGAGAGAGCAGAGCACCATGATAATCAAGGGGAGATTGGATTCCTTCTTTTAAAAAAATATGTCTCTATTGATTTTTAGAGAGAGAGGAAGGAAGAGAAAGAGAGAGAGAGAAACATCAATTGGCTGCCTCTTGTACTCCCCCAACTGGGGATCAAACCCGAAACCCAGGAACATGCCCTGACTGGGAATTGAACCAGCAACCTCTCGGTGCATGGGACAATGCTCAATCCACTGAGCCACACCAGCCAGATGGACTCTTTTTTTTTGGTACATGCCCCTAGCAGGAACTGAACCCGGGATTCTCTGGTCCACAGGCTGATGCTCCAACCACTGAACCAAACTGGCCAGGATGGATTCTTATTTTATTTGGAACTTAAGCAGGGGAGTTCAAAACTGCAGAAAATTATGAAAACTGAATGGCAATAGTACTGGTGGTATCTGAGCCAATACTGTAACACATCTGTATCAGTCTATATTCCTAGTTGCATATTCACAGAGGACCTGAGGCACAAGCATATGATTGCTTCATTATATCTTCTAGTGGGGAGTCTATCCAAGAATTTCTATATTGAAACATATATAAATAGATAGATACATTTTTATTTATTTTATTTTATTTTTATTACAGACGTTTCTCCTTTTATATCCCATTGACACCCTCCTCCCCATCCCCCCCGCCCCGTCCCCGGCTTTGTTGTCCATGTCCACTGGTTATGGGTACATGCATATAAGTTCTGTGGTTTATCTCTTCCCTTCCCCCATCACGCCCTCTTTTGAGGGTTGTCAGTCTGTACCCTACTTCCATGTCTCTGTGTCTACCCTATTCCTCAGACTGTTATGATCTTTATATTCCACAAATAAGTGAGAGATAGATACATTTTTTAGAATTTGATTTGAGAGAGAAATATTTATTTGTGATCCACTTATTTATGCATTCATTGGTTGATTCTTTTTTTTAATCATCACCCAAGGACATTTTTTCCATTTTTGTTTAGATAGAGTGCGAGGGAGAAAAACTGGTTGCCTCCCGCCGGACCCCAACCAGGGCCAGGGACGTATCGCAGCCAAGGTAGTGCCCTTAACCGGAATCAAATCTGAGATTCATTGGTCTGTGGACTGACACTCTAACCACTGAGCAAAATCGGCCAAGGCCATTGGTTGATTCTTGTATGTTCCCTGATCTGGAATTGAACCCGCAACCTTGATGAATTGAGAGGATGCTCTAACCAACTGTGCTACCCAACAAGGGCTATATACACTTAAAAAAAAAAAAAAAAAATGATTCATGAATATATGTGTTATTCTTGTACAGGGGCCATGCAAATCTGCTATGTCATTTCAGTTTTAGTATTATGTGCCTCCCAAGAGGGCAGGAAATATATATTCTTGTATTATAAAGTTATTTTATTTACCCCTTTAATTGAGGCATTTTATGGTTTGATATTATGAAACTGTGATGTAGATTGGTCATATTATCTATGAATGCTAAAGGTGGTGTTGAAAAGTATTTATTATAAAGGGCACTGGGTAACATAAAGTTGAGAACTATAAGGTGACAGCACACTAAGTGTTGGATTAATAGTAGGTATTGTTATTAAGGCTGCTATCACCCTTTGTCACTTCCAGGCACAGTTTAGGTGAAGTCCCTGGAGAGCAGTCCTGCCATGAGTCAGCTGCTATTGGAGGGGACACGGCCTGTAGCCAGTTCCCTCGGGGTGGGTAGCGCTGAGTGACGCAAGCCTGGGTCCTGGGAAACCACAGCTCTGACACTGCGGTTCCCTCCCCCAGAACAATGTATCTCCTGAGTAAGAGACTTTCTCCTGAGGCCCAGAAGCCCGGGTGACGCCCCTGCTAGGTGCGCTGGGCTGGCGGGCGTCCTCAGAGCACACCAGCACCCAGGGATTCCCCCAAAGCGGGAAGGCTGGGCCCGACCTGGCTCTAGGCTGCAAACCAGACTCGCTGGGCAGAGCTGACATCAGCGGGTAGGCCAAGGGAGGGTGGGGTTGGCCTGGGAGCTTGGGCGGCTCACTCTCAGGGGAAGGGAGGAGATGAGAGAAGTGGGAGGGAGAGGAAAGAGGAAGGAAGAAGGCTGGCGGGAATTGAGCCCTCAGAAGTCTGACTCAGGCAGCTCAGGACAGCTGTAGGGAAGGCAAATGGGAAGTTACCTCCCAGCTTGAAACTGTTTTTAAAATTTATTTATTTTTTTTTAATCCTCACCCGAGGACATTTTTTCCTTTTTTTGTTCAGATAGAGTGAGAGGAAAAAAGAGAGAGAGAGAGACAGACAGACAGACAGACAGACATTGACGTGAAAGGGACACATCGAGTGGCTGCCACCCACATAACCCAACCAGGGCCGGGGACAAACTGCAGCCGAGGTACATGCCCTCAGCGGGAACCGAACCTGGGTCTCTCTGGACCGCAGGCCGACGCTCTAACCGCTGAGCCAAACCAGCCAGGGCTAAACTTGATTTTTATAGAGAGAGAGGAAGGGGGAGATAGAAACATTGAGTATTGTTGTTCGTGCACTCATTGGTTGACTCTTGCATGTGCCCGGACCAGTGAAACCCACAACCTTGGGACATCGGGGAGACACTCTAACCAACTGAACTACCCAGCCAGGGCCCAGCTTGAAACTTGGCATTCTAGACCCTTGCCTATTTCCTTCTCACCTCAAGCCATTCCCTACCATACACAGGACCCTCCCACCGAACTACTTACAAAACCCTCCAAAAGCCAGGCTAATCCAGACCTATGTGCCTTTGGGTTTACAGGTCGCTCCCTGAATTGCCTTCCCCTGGCTCATCTAACTCCAGTTTTCCTTGAAAATATCACCTTCTCTTGAGGTATTCTCCAATTCAGGCATACTTTCTCTGGTCTCTGTGCTAAAATCTATAGGTGATTAAGGTAAACTAAAACAGTCATTTATCAAGACAGTACAGTGTTCTCAAACTTTAGTGTGCATCAGAATCCCTCAGAAGGCTTGTTTAAATATGAATTGCTGGGCTCCATTTTAATTCTAATTCTGGTCTGGGGTCGGGTCAAGAATTTTCACTTCCAAAAAGTTGCCAAGTGTTCTTGACACTTCTGGTCCAAGGATGACACTTGGAGTACCACTGGTTTATGCAAGAAATAATCGTTCCTGGGTATGATCAGTGCTTATTAATTCATTCAATGAATGTCTACTGCATGGATCAAGTGTTGAGTATTCAATATAAGCAAAGCAGTCATAGTGTGGTAGACAGACAGACATGAGCAGAGCAAGGAGAGTGGGCCAGGTACAGAAGGTCACCACCGCAGAAAGCCCCAGGTGCCTAGCAACAGACAAAACTAGGAAAAAAAGGACCTCACTCCAGGGTGACCTTTCCTCCCCTAGCATATCACTTGTCATGTGGTTTAAACCCCCTGACCTTTTATATCGCTGACCGTGTGATTTGGGCCCTCCGCTGACCTTTCCTCCCCTGGCATATTGCTAGTCCCTGCTTTTAGACTCTCTTAGAGGATAAATAAGGGGCTGGAGAACAGCCTCATAAAACTCCCATACAAGCCCTTGCATGACCACTCCCTCAAACTTTGGGCCCTCAGGAGAATGAAGTTCTGACTCACATCAAATGATCTTAGGAACAAAGTCTCAGGTCTGCTGACCATAGAGACAGAGTTTTGGTCAAACTAGAGGTGATGACATATAGGCCTCAGGTGTATTTTAGCTCCAGGCAAAACCAGATGGAGCGATGCCATGGCTAACATCAGGACCAGATGCAGTGACTAATGAATCCCTCCCTAGCATTGATCAGTCAGTGGAGACCAGGACTCTGAAAGGACACACCTGGAAAGCTGATGAATATTTTATTGAGATCCTTCTCTAAGACCTCCCCTAAAATTCCTGCCTTTAAAAACAGATAATAAACCCTTCAGATAAAGAAAGCCAGCTTGAGATCCCCATGAAGTATGACCACATCGTTCTTCCCCCTTTCTCAGGTTCTCTGCTCTCTTTCTCCTAAGTTCTTTTTTTTTTTTTTTAATCCTCACCCAAGGATATTTTTTTCATTTATCTTCAGATAGAGCTGGAAGGAGGGAGAGAGGAAGAGAGAGAAAGAAACATCAATGTGTCTCTCGCCACCTGCAAAACCTCAATCGGGGCCGGGGACCAACCGCAACCAAGATACATGCCCTTGGCCGGAATCAAACCTGGAACTCTTTGGTCCAAGGGCCGATGCTTTAACTGCTGAGCCAAACCAGCCAGGGCTCTTTCTTGTAAGTTTTAAGGGTCCCAGTCAGACTTGCAACCAGGGGAGCAGCAGGCAGCAGCAGCTCCTCTTGAGCTAACCCCCTGAATCTGTCTCCAAGACCCCCTTTTCTCTTACTTGTCAGTGCACTAACAGCAGCCCCACCTTGGCTCACTTCTGTCACTGTGACATTTATTTCTCAGTGAGTCCACACCACCCAGGGTGGCTCACTTTTTTCCTATAACATTTCTAGAAAGCCAATGCAGAGCACCACCTAGGCTCTCTCCTGTTGCGTCTTCTATCCTAAGCCCTTCCTTTATTTCACTGTCCCCAGCTTTAATAAACATAAACATACTCTCAAAAATCACCTGGACTAGCATTGTGAAATTTTTCCTGCACAAAGTCAAGAACCATACCCTACAGGCTGGACTGAGCGGACCCGCTCCAGGCCCAGTCTCTTTCTGGTGACAATAGGACTTACCCTTATGGAGCTTCTGGTCAACTGGGGTAGACAAATATTAAGCAAATAAACATACTATTAAGTATATAATAACAAAATGTGATAAATGCTCTAAAGGAAAAGAAAGAGAATATTATTAAAAATAGTAATAACAAGAACCTATGTCAGCCCAGCTGATGTGGCTCAGTGGTTGAGTATCTTTCCATGCACCAAGAGGTCACAGGTTCAATTCTTGGTCAGGGCACATGCCCAAGTTGTGGGCCAAACCCCCAGTGGGGGACATGCAGGAGGCGGCGAATCAATGTTCTCGCTCATCAATGTTTTTCTCTCTTTCTCTCTAATAAAATAAAAAGAACCTATTTCAGGGGCAAACCACTTGGGTCCCCTCCCCACTGCGGGGAATCTGTCCGTCTTTCAAATAAACTTTCCTTTTGCTTAAAAAAAAAATGGAACCTATTTCAGACTGGACAGTTAAGTAAGGTTTTTGTGGGAAAAGGGACATTTATACAAGCATATTTTATTTTATTTATTTATTTATTTTTTTTATCATCCTCACCCGAGGACATTTTTCCATTCTTTTGTTCAGATAGAGTGGGAGGGAGAGAGAGGAAGAGAGAGAGAGAGAAACATCGATGTGAAAGGGATACATCGAGTGGTCGCCACCCGCACAACCAACCAGGGCCGGGGACAAACTGCAACCGAGGTACATGCCCTTAGCGGGAACCGAACCCAGGTCTCTCCGGACCGCAGGCCGATGCTCTAACCGCTGAGCCAAACCGGCCAGGGCCATACAAGCATATTTTAAACAAACTTCTATAGGGTGCACTTATTGCACTATATTATAATCTATTTTAAATTTTTTTCCAGCTATCCTTGACAGGTTTTGCTCAGTGGGTAGAGCATCGGTCTGCAGACCAAGGAATTGCAGGTTTGATTCCAGTCAAGGGCACATGCCTTGGTTGCGATTTGGTCCCCAGTCCTGGTCAGTCATGTGGGAGGCAACCAATTGACGTGTCTCTCTCACATTGATGTTTCTCTCTCTTTCTCTCTCCCCCTCCCTCCCACTTTTTCTGAAAATAAATGGAAAAATATCCTTGGGTGAGAATTAAAAAAATATTTTTTGTTTTAGCTAACCACTACTCCCTGTGCTACTTGAAAGCTAGAATCTGGTCCAGCCGGTGTGGCTCAGTGGTTGAGCATCGACCCATGCACAAAGAGGTGGCCAGTTCGATTCCCAGTGAGGGCACATGCCCAGGTTGTTGGCCTGATACCCAGTGGTGGGCATGCAGGAGGCAGCCAATCGATGTTATCTCTCATCAATGTTTCTAGCTCTTTCTCCCTTCCTCTCTAAAATCAATAAAGGAAAAAAAAAAAAAGAAAGCAAGAATCTGTCTTATAAATATTTGTAGCTTCAGCATGCTTCACAGAGCAGGGCCTTAGTAGATAGTATAAGAATAGATGGAAAAATGGAAGAGTCATTGCAAGAATGAACAAATGAATGAATGAAATGTCAGATAAATGTATGCATGCATACATACGCAGATGGATGGATGGATGATAGATAGATGGGTGACTGTCTCTGGCAGCAACACGGAGAACCAAGATTCATGGTGATACTAGAAAGACAAGAGTGAAAACTTAGCTGACTTCTTTATTATATTTCCAAACCCTGTTCATCATTGAAGG